ATGAATTGCTAAGAAAAAGAATGGAAGATTGGAGAGATATTAAAGGCAAAGGAAAAGCAACAAAAGAATGATAAATCATTTATATAATTTATCAACAATTATATAAAATGATTAACAACCACAAACACGAGTTAAGGAAACGCCCCACATATGATGAAATGCTTAAACAAGCAATGACAAGCAAAATAAAAACAACAGTTATACTGAAGAAATACAAGAAAGATATGTTATTGAATAATTGTGATTTGGATAAAATGGATTTGATGAATTATAAAAATAAAGAAAGATATATGAACGCAGAATTTATGACTGCAGACAAGGCAAGACAAACGCTTAACAAAGAAAACAAGGCAACACAAACAGACCTTCCAAATGATAAAGCCACACAAACTTATAATATTGATGATATGACAAAACTATTAGGTGGATCATCAAAGAGTTTCAAAAGCAAATTGATAACCAAGGCTGAAGCAGAAGCAGAAGCATTTACATATGACCCTGATTTATATGATGATGACGATGACGATGATGAACACAAAAAAGATGATGACATTGATAAATACAAAAAGAAACTGTTTATGTTGATGAGGATCATAGAATTTATGCTAAGATCAAGTTTTGGTATAGGACAATTAGTAGCACACTTAACATATCACACTACATTGACTACAATCCAAATTTCAGTTATTAGATCATTTAACAATGAATTCATTAGTATCGTCTTATGATATAGCAAGTGTCATAATGAATTGGTTGAATACAAATGTTAGTGAAAAAGTTGAGTTAAACACTGAACCCCCTGCTAGTGTTCATAGTTCTCCGCCTATCACTGTTAGTAGTTCTTCAACACATACTGTTAATTCATCATCCTCAGAAGAAAATCCTAATTATGAAGTAACACCTCCTACAGATATGTTTATTCCTACCGGTGTGGATGGGGTCGAGTCTGAAAGTGAAAATGATGAAACTGAAAACCAAAATATCAATCCTACAAAAAGTAAAAATACTTAAAGAAATGACCCCTTAATATAATAAGATAAAATGACACTGTTTAATTATAGCAACTGTCCTTGTAAAAAAAAAGGTGTGAAAATGTAGTGGCATTAGCAAACATTTTGCCTGTTAATGATTGTAATATTATTGATGATTATAGTAAAATGGATTGTTTTAAATGTTGTTGTTTAAAATTAAAAGAAAATTATTGTTTTTCAAACAGTCGTTTAATAACTACATTACACAAATGACTGGACAACATTATGATGACAAGCAGTATAGAAGAAACATTGACAGCATATTTGACAAATTAGGAGTAAAAGAAAGATTTAAAAATAGGAAAATGTTTTATCAAGCAATGAAATCATACTGTAGAAATAACAGTCACGAAGTTAGTCTAATTTTACGAAAATGCATTAAAATTGAACACTTATCATTTATGAAAAATAACGACTTTAACTTTCCTAACCTAAACAGCTGGTGGTCATATAGAAATAACTATTATTATATGAGACATGTTCTTAGCGATTTAATTGAAATTTACACTGACCAATTAATAGAAGGTTATGAACATTATTGTTGTGAGTATAGTATGAGTTGTTATAGTGGTTGTGCTCATGCGGTGATGAATAGCCCCCACTAGAACTGTTCAGACTTGTGAGGGCCCTGATGAGTTTTCTCTGGGCTGCTTCTGAGAGAAACTTCATGGCACCCTTGCTGAAACGCTCAAGGGTTTCAAGGGGAGAGGTCTCAATACGTGGCCGAGGTAATCGCTGGTGAGATTGAATACGGGACAAATTAACTGTTGTTTATGCATATTATTATCTTATAATATGATTAAACACTTGTGACCCACAGAAAGCCGTAAAATGGTCTGAAACCTGAACCTTGAAAATGTCAAAATGTTAGACTGTTCTTAAATGAAAAAATTGTAAAAAACTAATACTTAGGTTTTGAACAAAATGGTTTGCTTGTTGAAAACTGACCTTGAACCCTGAAACCCTGAACTGAAAATACCCTACCCTAGAACCAACCTTATAACCATTTCCCCCCCCCCCCATGGACCCTGGTTTGGTGAGTTTGACCTGTGTTCGTTCCACTGTGTTTGCCTTTTTTTGTCTTGTTGATTTTGTGGCAAAAGTGGGGGTGCCGGGTTGTGTTGCACAGGGGAGCGCCATATGTATATGTGTATATATATATATATATATGGAGCTCCCCCCCCAAAGTCGACCTTTTTGTCTGTCTTCATCTGTGATACCCACTACATCTGACTCTGCAAAAGGAAAAAGACTCTCCAACTCAACCGGTTGAACGGTTTAAGCCGGTTGAACCCTTTCTCAAAGGAAAGGTGTGGGCCGCCGTTTGAACCGTTTAAACGGTTGAACCAAAACCGTTTAAACCCTCTCTCAGAGGAAAGGTGTGGGCCCAAAACCGTTTAAACCGTTTGAACCGTTTGAACCCTCTCTGAGGGGGGGGCTTTCATTTGAGAGAGGGTTAAAACAGTTTAAACGGTTTAAACAGTTTTGGGGCCCTGGCTCTTGGGAGGTAGGAGGGTGGGGGGACCTTTCCTCTGAGAAAGGGCTGCAACGGTTAAAACGGTTTAAACGGTTGTAGGCCTTGGGGGAGGGGGGTCTTTCCTCTGAGAAAGGCTTTAAACGGTTTGGGGCCCAATTAAGGGGGGCTTTCCTCTCAGAAAAGAAAATGGTGCCAACGGTTTGGGGCCCTGACTCTCCTCTTTGCTGTTGTTTTTGGGATCTTGTGACTAAACCTCAGCTTAAAAATAGGACAGAGGTAGATCCAAACCGACTAACATTTCATTCGGGCCTGGATTCAAGATTCGCTGGAAAAGTGTTAAACCTAAAGCTTGCAGATTGTCTTTGGACATGTGTTATTTTTTGGTGCTTTCCCAAATCCCCAAAAAGTAGAAAACGCTGCAAATACACATATGAATTCTGAAAACGTAATCTAAATAGGGGCTCCTTTTCAAAGACTATGTTTAATTCGAATGTTTATGTCAAATTTGACGTCAAAGGCGGTCTCCTTTTCTTCTATTGAACTTAATAAGCACATACTCCTAGTAGGATGTTCCAGTTTAAAGAGAATCTAAATAGGCTTTCCTAGTGAACAAGTCAATGAATCAATGAATATCTAAACGATGAAAAGCTAACTAAATGCATAGACACATGAAAGCATAAATGTATTGAATGAATAGATTTAAAAAAAAAAAAAAAGTAAATACAAGTGAGTTCACGCCGTAAATGCATATACATGTGTGTACATATATATATATATATACATATGCAACCCCCCCCCCTCAATGGACCCTGGTGTTGGTGCCTTTGCGGATGATAAATCTTTTATGAATTGATTGATATATTGAGTTATTGAGCTATTGAGTTATGTACTTACTTTTGATACATTTACTCATTTGTTTAGTTTCTTGTTGACTTATTTGTTTCTTCATTTATGGTAGCCCCCCCATGGACTACTTCTACTTGGGGTATACATATATATATATATATAGGCAGAATGTATTATGTATATATATATATATGTGGTAGGAACCCCCCCCCCTTCATACCAAGGCTTTCCTGCTTAACAGTGTTCATGTTGCAGCTTTTGTTTGGTCTGGAATGAGCCAAGAATATCCAAAGACGCTGTTTGCCAACACCGTTTCCTCACAGGAAAAGAAACATGAGGAAACATGCAGGTTGCAATGGAAGGCAAAGATCATAAGATCATGGTGCATTTGGACCGCAAACATCCCGAGATCGATCGGAGGCTTTTTTGGAGAAGCATTCAATCGGGCTAGGCGACTGTGATGATCATATCAGCTTGACTGGTCTTCGTAACTGAACTATTTCCCGGGGTTAAGCCCTGGTTTGTTCAAGCACTTGAGGGCTGGCCAGGCTTGATGCTCCAAAAGGTGGTATGTGGAATCTTGAATGCTCAATCTTCGATCCTATGCAAACTTGAACACCGCGTTTTACAGCATGTGGTGCCAAGAAGCAAATCCATGCTTAAAGACACTTCTCGGCTATTGGCTTGGCTCGGCCCTCGCTTGGATTGAAGACATGGAATGTGATAAGGAACATCACACTGTTGAACTTCAACTCGACTCCAGTTTCAACTGGCAATGTCAATAGTTGTTGTTTTCTTCAAAACTGTTGTGTAATTGAAATGCACACAACATTGCAACCGGTACGAAATGTGCTTGGATTGAACACAAACAAAATTCAAGGTTGGATATGTTCCAACAATGTGCAGTTCAATAAAAGTTGTTGACAATGATTGAACCGTTTTGCAAACATTGGTTCAATAAAACTTCATGAGTTAAGTAAATAGAATTGAAATAGAACATAAATGCAACTGCACAAGGACATGAAGTAGGAATGAGCTCCCTTCTACCAAGTTGATGATTTGCTGCTTTCCCCTGCCAAACGAAAAGGCACGATGAAGCTGCCAAAGTGTACTTCGCATACTATTCTGTTTGAGCTGGAGCTGCCAAAGTACACTTCGCGTTCTCCAATGTGAGTTTCGAGCCGTTACAATAGCAACTCCTTCTCAACCTTGAGCTTAAGCTCAACCTGCATTTAACTTCAAAGAGGTGTTGAAATACAGAGTTTGAGTCGAAAGGGACCTCAGAGGTCTGAAGTGTCTGCAGTGAAACTGACAAAAAAAGGTTCACACGTTGCATGTTTGCAAGCACATTGATTGTGGCTGGATCTGGATCAGCTGTGGTTGTAGCTGCTGGACGTGTTGCCATTCTTTCCTAGGTGCATCTCAGTCACATCGATTCCCTCCCATGTCGGATACCATTCGCTTTTTGGTTCTGTACCAAGATTTGCCATAGAGATCTCCTTCTCCCCATTCATCCAAAAGATCAAGAAAGGGATTTGCGCGCCAATTACAGGGGGGGTGGTTCAAGACCACCATGTTCTTTTTAGAGGCACGCGGCTCCCCGAGCCGCGTCCCTCGGCTCCCCTCGTTCCCTCGTTGCGTCGCGCCTTCAGCAGGGTGTTCCACACGAAGGTCCGGAGCTGCTTGGCATCCAGCTGCCCGAAGAGCTCCCGCGCCTGAAGCGCACGCCAGGGCTTTCAGAAAGCCATCTGTTTACTGCTTGTGTGCTTCTTTGTTTTAAGAGAAAACAGATACAGCTTATTTATGTGATTAATGTATATATATATATATATATATGTATAAAGAAAGAAGTATCTCCTGCGGAAGCCGAGGTACCTGCAGGGTCATTGGCGAGCTTCTTTGCTGTCGCTGGGAGGAGAAAACTGCCCATACAATGCGATTCTAGGTACAAAGCAAGTGAAACTCGGAATGTGCAGGTGGATCTGGGATGCTTCTTCATTTCGTAGATGTGACTCTATGCCGTACGTGCCGCCGTATGTTCTGTTTCGCTGGTGCCTTGAAGTTGTAGACCTATATCCTGTGACACACATGTGTTCTCTTGAAAGATTTGGTCACACAAAACACGCCCGTGGACCAATTCACCGCGTTTGTAAACTTTTCGGCACCTCGCAAACCATCCCCCCACCCACCCACCCCCCACAGGAGTTGAAATCTCCAAGAAACCAATGTAATTAGAGAAATCCCTGATCTTCGTTTGTTCACCTGAAAACACATGGATCTTCTTCGGTGTCACTCTTTGCGCCGCTTCTTTTTAACTCACGGTCAGGCTCTCATGTTCGCGTTGTTGTGTCCCCGCAGATGTGAAAGGAGTAGCCATTGGAAAGTCAAAACCCAGAGCACACCTTTCGCCGCCGAAAAAACCTTCTCGCCGATCGGCCGAAGTCTGCTTCGAGGAAATCAGAGGTTCTTGCACCCGGAAACTCGAGATACCGAACAATGTCTCAATTGCACGCCAGAACATGTAATGGTGTGACTTGATGGTGCCGTTCTTGAGAGCCATTTTCGAGGTGATTGAAACCAGAAGGAAGCCAGTCAATGATTCGTAGTTTTTCGGTATTTGGGCATTTCCACAAAGAGTCTGACTAGTCTTATTTCAGTGTTCCTTTAAAGGCCATCCGAAACAAAGGATCCCAATCTTTGTTTTTGGTCCTACTCCAATTTCAACACGCTTGGCCGATTGCCGAACCACACGCCTTGTGCACATTTCCTGCCGTTGCTGCCTGTCAGCAGCGAACTCCGGCCGGTGCGGTGTCCAGCACTTCGTATGTCCCATCCTTGCTGATTGTGTTTTGATCTGTGTTGTCCGCACTAAGCGGTCCCCCTTGGCTCTATAATTCCAATTCAAATAGCTGTAAATGCAACGGCGGCTCCATCTTGCCAAGTACGAAGTGCTAAAACTAACTGCAAGTAAGCTTGCAGCATCACTTTACCCAAAACGTCCGCAAAAAAAAAAAAAAAAAAAAAAAAAAAAAAAAACGTCCGAAACGTGGTGCCTTCGGTCTATTTGCGGCACGGGACACGGCGGACTCCCAGAAAACTTCCGAGCACAGCAGGGAACTCACATCTGCTCATACCCACGGGCCCCTTGGCCTGTCCCCCTGGTTTGGTGGGAAAAATATTCCCTTCTCATCCCCCCAGAATAATAATTACTATTATAATAATCATGCGACCGACAAAATTTGGGTTGTCCAAATCCACGCCGAAAAGGACATACGTTCCACCTCCCTCGAAGAGTTGAGTAACCGAGTAACCCAGGTGGTACACCTCATCTTGAAACAAACACCAAGAGCTATGCATCATAAGGCAGAAGTAGAATCCTACGCGTCTACCTCAATCACAAGCCGCCCCTTGCCTCATTCAGCTCGCATAGGATTCTGCGAGCCTCATAGTCAACCACTTGACTCGAAGGCCCAAGCCGCATGCTTGCGACAACACAATATGAATCATGGCCAATAAGTTGGCAACATGAAACACTATTCATCTCATTCTAAGCCCACCACGATGTCTCGCATACCTGCAAAAGGCATGCGAGAAAAGTGAGCAAATGGGCAGCATGCGATGACCATGTTTGACCCAAATGGAGTCAGTCGAAGCGAAGCCTTGGGGTGTGGAAATTTTGGCTTTCCAACAGAAGACCCAAGAGCCCCACAAACAACAACACGCAAACAAAGGTCAACATGGTCCTCTGAGGACTACCTGATTCAGATCAAAAGCCCGCCTGGTCAATCTCCGCCGCTCTGACATTGTGGCCACATCCGTCCATTGCAGAGGCGGCCTTATGGTTTCCTAGAATTTATATGTCTTAAAACTTGCCTCGCGTAGATCCATTGGAATTGGATCCAATGACTCAAGCTATGCGCATACTGTGTTGGCGGCTGTCAGCAAGCGAATGGAAACACGCGCCCGAGATGATCAGGGATTTGGCGAACCGTGCATTGCATGCCACAGCGTCTGACTCATTGTTATACGTTACTCTCTGAGAAAGTGACCTTCTCCTGTTTGAGCCAAAGTCTTTTTAGGGGGACAAACAAACACGAACACAACTCGCACTCCCACCAGTATCGTTGATATGCAAAAATAATATACAAAAATAATTCAGGTATATCATTAAATTCAATGATATCAGGCTCACTCAATATTGACGCACACCTCTTTTGGCTGCAGCTCACGGCCAGGTCAAGGGCAATATATCATCATTGCAAAGCCAAACCAGAGGCAGATCCTGCAAAAGCACAAGAGTGTAATATGGCAGAAAAGCCACATACCAACCTGTAAAAAAAGCAGGAACGACCAAACTGCCGGCCAGCGCAAAACACAAAAAACAGAAGCCACTTGCAGCTCTTGTCGCCCCAAAAATGTAAATACGCATCGCTTGTTTTATTCAGCTATACATCGCCAGTCCTACTTGCGCACCGCGTCGAACGCAACCATAAACATGGAAGGGTTAGGGAAGGAGACGACAGCGGGTGAGTGCGGAGCACATGATTGTACCATATATAAATCACAGCTCAAATGCATAGCGCTCTTTTCAGCTCGGGGGATATTCACTGCACGTGAGTGCGACCCACCTCATGCCTCCTAAGGAGGCGGGATCCTGGCCTTCCAGTCTCACGCACAAATCCCCCCCGGGAGTAGTGCGTGAAAGGGTTGGGCGGGTGGGACAAAAACCCAGGATCAAAAAGGGGGATTCCCCCCCCCTCCTCTCCCAGCCAGAGCTGCGAGATGTCAACTCATGCAGGAGACCAATCCGTGCAAGCCCAGTTGCCGCATGTGGTTGACAAATCCTGTTAAAAAGAAAGTCACCTGTTTGAAACATTGAAACACGGCAACGCGAAGAAGCTCGTGTCACATGCAACACTCAAACAGGAAACCAACCGATAACAAATTCACGGCACTCTAAAAAGTCATCTCCTCTTTTCCTTCCCGGTCCATTCCTCCAATGGCACCAGCAAGGAACACCCAGGAAGCAAGATAGAACAGGTGGCTCCCCACCAGTGGCGTGTAAGCTGAATAAAGCGCGAACACTAAAGTGAAAAGCTAACTTATTCAGCTATACATCGCCAGTCCTACTTGCGCACCGCGTCGAACGCAACCATAAACATGGAAGGGTTAGGGAAGGAGACGACAGCGGGTGAGTGCGGAGCACATGATTGTACCATATATAAATCACAGCTCAAACGCATAGCGCTCTTTTCAGCTCGGGGGATATTCACTGCACGTGAGTGCGACCCACCTCATGCCTCCTAAGGAGGCGGGATCCTGGCCTTCCAGTCTCACGCACAAATCCCCCATTCAAGCTGCGTGATCCGAATAGTCTGGGGTCACCTTTCTCCAGCCATCATATCCTTTGAATTCCAGCCTTGAAGCGGCATCCGAAGGGTTGGAAGCGCTGGGCACTCGGGAGTACCAGTTCCACATTTGGAACTGCGTGTCAAGCATGGCGTTGCATCTCAGGAGGCTCAGAGTGTGAAGGCTGGGTGAAAACGAGCGCACCAAACTCGCTTTGACACCTTCATTGTCTATAAAGACGAGGACCTTCCTACCTTTCAAAACTTGAGACCACGTCCTTTTCGCAACCACCACCGGAAGCAACTCAGCCTGGGCGATCAGTTGGAGCCCGAGGCCGACCATTGTTCTGCGAGATGCTGAGGGACATGGTCACCAAAATATTCGCGAATCCCATGTTGTGGGTCGAATAGCATCGCTCCATGCGTCACAACCTTGCCCTCGTCCTCGCACGCTCCATCTGTAAAAAGCAAAATAGGACGCTCGCACATCATTGGCTTCAAGACTCGTGGGGCAGCCGCCTGCAGGAGTGACACGGCCTCCCCAATAAAGGGAATCAGGTCCTCAATTGAGTGGTTTCCTTCGCTGCCCATCCTGCTCAAAAGTTGCACTGCTAAGTGGGTCATCCTCCCAAAGGTGTGCCCAGCGGCGTACAGCAGCTTACCCCTCAGCGAAGGCAGCTTCCCAAGCGGAGCAGACCCCGAAGCAATGTCCCGAAAAAGAGCGACGATGTCTGGTACTCTTTCAGGCTTGTTGAAGACGCAGACCTCTCCCTCTGGCGCATTCTTCAATGAAACCATAGCTCCCAATATGGGAAACTCCTCCTGAAAGGGCATCCTCTTGTGTTCATCCATCGCAATTTCCCAGCCCAGCAATTTCAAAACCGACTCAGCCAGAAACTGATTGTTGCTCCCAAGATGCCTCAGCTCAAGCATTCCGTAGTCATCGAAGAAGCTGGTCGATGGGAGGAAAAACAATTTGATCAGGATGTCGCGGATGGCACGGGCCGCCCTATTGAATGAGAGCACAGCACTAGTTGCCCCAAATGGAAGCGCAACTGCCTCGAAAAAGGAAACAGAACCATCATCTGGGTTCAGCACCGCCACCACCGAGGCCCATGCATGCTCAGGTTTCCTGCACAGCTGTTTGTATGCGCTCTTCAAATCCATGCACCTGCCCACCAACCCCGTTGGTTCAACCCCTTCTCCAGCTCGACCGCAAATCTCGGCCGCCCAGAATCCTAAGGCAACAAATTGGTCCAGGGCCTCGAGGTCCAATTTCTCGGGCACCGAAGTGGAGCTGTTGACCAGAAACTCGCTGCAATCATCGATACACCGAATCTTCCCAGACTGGCGAATTCCGAACCTTTTCGAAGGCACCCAAGTTCCACCAGAGTTGCTCCTCAGTGTAGGGCCCAGTGAGCCAACCCTTCGCCAGCTGCTCCTGCGTCTCTTGCCAAACCTTATGGCAGATCTCCAGGTCGTCCAATGAGCGAGCGCAAGACGCCACGACTGCTTTGCGCGACCATTTGGAGCTATTCCTCAATGCTTCAATACTGAGCAGTGCAGGCTTCCAATGCAATGGGAATTGTCCAGAGGGCGGCAGATTACCAATCAAAGGGAACCCGCCAACCATGCAGTCGAAGAGGTCTTCGTCGCAATTCCCGCAGTCGCTCAACATCTGCTTAAAGAGCAACAACCGCTTGGTGCACATGACCCTCTCTACCTCAGGGTGCATAGTGCGACGCAACTCTCTCTCTTTGGGAGCCAGCTTCTTGGATAGCTCCATGTAGTGCCTGAGCCTGTCCAGTCTCCACTTCGCTCATGACCCACTGTATAGCCACACGATTTTCCCGACTCACAGCATCTGGGCAGTCAAAGGGGTGCTCCAACTCTAAGGCCCGCTCCAAAAACTCGTCAGGTGTGTGGAAGACACCGTACATGATCCTTTTCGTCTTCTCCTTCACTTTGCTCACACCGATCTCTTCGCTCGTGCACCAATCACCCCACATTCGAACTTGCACGGGCGAGAGCAAAATAGCACCATCAGGCAAGCCGGACAAAGTAGCATGAACAGGCTTGCAAATTGTCATGGGTGGTTGAAAATCGGCATCCACACGTCGAGCAAACACCTGCCGAAACTCTGGGATTAAGGCAGGTGATTTCCAACCCCGCGGCTGCTTCAGGTTAGCCAGGTACGTTTGTGAAGGCTCCCACTCCGGCTGCGCAGAAAACACAAAGCCACGCGACTTCAACTCGCACGCAATGAGTGAAGCAGTGGCCTGGCATAGCTGCAACGGATATTCAGCCTCCTGCGATGTCATAAACTGTACGCGCCCACGAGCGTCACGTATTTTCCAAGGCAGGTGTGGGTGCTTGCGATCACAACGAATGCACAGCGCGCTAAGATCGAAATTTGCAAGGAAAGCTGTCTTCTTGGGCCGCTTGGATCCATGCATACAGCAGTCGAAACAGTAAAAGGCAAACCCCAAAGGGAGAAGCGCACGAAATTCATCGAGCAGCCACATGAGGGAGTTCTCTGGATTCTCGATGATGACCAAGGCTCCTGCTTGATGCGCTAGCGCGGCGGCCTGGCAAGTGAAGCAATACAGGCGGTTTGCTGACAAAACTCTGGCAACGTCCAGTCCGGTATTCCACGGAAAACCATACGGATATTCAGGAGACCGCAGAGGCTTTGGCCCTGGTCTACTGCCCTGAATCTTAATGCACCGAGCCATGCTGGACGTCCCACATGGTGGTGCTGCAAAAAGGCATGCAACAAGTCCCTGAGAAAGTTGCTGAAAAACTGTAGTTTGATGTTCGGGATCGAGCAGGTCCAGCTTCGCTGCGGCTGCCTTCACCCTTTTGCGATCCACGTAATGGTCTATACCCAATGCATGCATTCCCCACGCCTTTGCCTGTGCGGACATCCCCGCAGACCCGCAGAAAATCTCAAGGAAGTGCGGGGCAACTGAGGTGTCATTAACGATAGGTCTGCACGCAGTGAGCAAAGCAGGTGCCCCCTTCGAGGCACTCCGCGAAAAAGCGTCTTCCTTCGAAGCGTTGTATGCATCCGAGCCCTTGCTCGGTCGAAATGGTGACCGTGACCGGTCAGAATTGCTGGCACGACCCTTGTCATTACCAGCCGAAAAAGGCTTAGAGGTCTGCATGCCTGGCTCCGGAAGTCAGTGCTTGTGCTGCAGGAAGGTGTGGGTCTTGCTGAAACA